CACATAGTAATACGGCAAACCAACCATGAAGACTAAAGAGCTTTCCAAACAAGTCGGGGATAAAGTGGTAGAAAGAAGATTACAAGAAAATTTCAAAGGCGCTGATTATACCTTTGAGTATGGTTAATCCATCATTAAGAAGTGGAATGTGCTTCATACCAACCATTCTCTACCCAGATCAGGTTACCCTTCCAAACTAGGCAGCCAGGAAAGCAGGAAACTGGTGAGGGATGCCACTGTGAAGCGAACAGTGACTTTGAAATATATGCAAAGTTCCATGTATGAGATGGGAGTCAGTTTTCATACATCAACAATATCCTGGTCCCTACAAAAAGCTGGCTTGTATGGTCGAGTGGCAAGAAATAAGCCATTACTAAAAAAGAATCATCTTAAATCTCGTGTGGAGTTTGCGATAAAGCATGCAAAGGATACTGCAGACATGTAGCAGAAGGTTTTGTAGTCAGACGAGACAACAATTTAGCTTTTTTGGTCTAAATTTAAAGAGTTACATCTGGTGCAAGCCCATCACAGCACATCACTAAGCCAACACCATCCTAACATGGTCGTGGCAGTATCATGTTATGGGGATGCTTCTCATCAGCAGGGACTGGGAAGCTTGTCAGGTTTAAAGGGAAGATGGATGGTGAAAAGTACAGGTGAGTCAGCCAAAATTTAAAACTTGATCAAAAATTCACATTTTAGCAAGACAATGACCCGAAGCACAAGACCAAAGCTACACTGGAATGGTTTCAAAAGAAGAAACTGGATGTCCTGGTCCAGTCTAAGTTCTGACTTGAATCCAATAGAAAATTTATGCCGAGACTTGAAGATTGCAGTCCATCAATGATCCTCAAACGAACTTGTCAGAATTGGAGCAATTTTGCCAAGAAGAATGGGCAAAAATTACACCACACCATCCCATTGTGCAAAGCTGTTAGAGAAATATCCATAAAGACTCACAGTAGTAATTGCTGCCAAAGGTGCTTCTGACAAATACTGACTTAGGGGCTGAATACTTATATAATCAGCAAATTTCAATTTATATATTTTCTTTGCAGGTTTTGCTGGCATTCAACCTCCATCACACATAACAATGTTAAGTTTGATAATTAGTGTTTTGAATAAAAACAAGTTCATTAAAAAATTATTTACATTATTTGTGTTTCATCAAAATATGACATTATTGGTAGGAGGTGAATACTTTTGCATGAAGTGAAGGAGTAAAAAAAACAATACACATAATATTAAGTTTTATTACAGAAATTCATAGAATAATTACTTTAAAAGGCACGAAAGTTTGTTTAAAGCGATGTTTTATTTGAAAAGGCTGCTTTTCTACTGGTAAAATTTTAAACGCCATTCGTGGGGGTTGTGTCTTAGTCTAGGCATATTTGCCCATTGCTATACATTATGTATAAGAGAACTTATTTACACAGAAACTAAATGGTCACTATATTCTCAAAGAAATCTCCAGCTGCAGCTTAAATTTTTAAATCTCGAAGTAATGCGAACAAATAGTCAGTAGCTATGGTTTCGAGCATCAGATCGGCAATCACCATGATTGCCGATCCTAAGTGTCGAATTATATAGCCAACACTGCCCGATTTCAAATTTTATAGATACTGCAGATAGAGTAGCCATCGTTGAAGTTGATGATAAGGAGTGGTAAAAATCGTGCAAGCAGGAAATGGCGAAAATGATGGCGATTATAGGCGAAATGAAGCAGAAATTTTGTAGATATATAATTTATTTAGAAAATAATTAGTTTCAAATAAAGTATGCGGTAGCCAGGGCTTACCAGAGTTTAAGAGTATCAAAGTGGAAGAGGTTCGTAGAAGTGTCACTACTCAAACTCCATCAGAAGTGGAGGTTGGAAGTATATTAATATAACCAACTCGTAATTGTTAATCAACACATTTTCGAACTTGTAGAATGTGCAGAATGTCATTTTAAGAGGAAATCTGATGAGTTAAACCAAAACCGTGACCGGCCTTACTATCCAGCGGAGAGGAGGAGGAAAGAGGAGATATAACAACTATAAGAAACATTGAAAATGCTTATTTGTGTACATATGGTATTGTACTGGCACATTTTCGTATATTTGTTTGTTTGTTTGTAATCAAACACAAAGCTACACAATGGACTATCTGTGCTCTGCCCACCACGGGTATCGAAACCCGGATTCTAGCGTTGTAAGTCCGCAGACATACCGCTGTGCCACTGGGGGCTCGTATATTTGTATTGAATATATATGCATGTATCTCAACAACTTGATAATTCACATGGCTAGCAATATACATACGGCTTTACAACTTAAAAAAAGCTGTAAAGCCTGCATGTATGTGTGTGTATATATAAAACTCATGCGGTTACAAAATGCGGTCCATGCACCATTCCAGTATAGTTCAGTGGTCCCTCCAAACCAGTGTTTACAGTCTCCCTATATAGCTACAGGGTATAAATATAGTAATTATATATATATTTTAAAAGCATATCATAACGTGGTATGTTGATCACTATGCATCATAGTGATCATACGTACAGTACCACTATCAATGATAACATTGTGGCAATGATATCAGGAGCAATAGCCATCCAATCTGCATGGAGCCAATTCAAAGGTCTTCATTTTTTCCCGAGATAGCATCATATATCAACTACACATTTCATTAAACTAAACTGTTTCAAATAGGACAGTATTGTTGTTATACACATTTATGGCCATTGTGGACATGAACAATAAAGAAACGAAATGATTAACAATTTTCAACTTAAAAACGGGATAGTAAAAGATACAGAAACTAGATAATTAGCTTAAAATGAAAATGCAGTCGCAAAAATAAGCTTAGGGTTTGAAACACAAAATAAGTAAAAGTACGGGGAATTTAAACACCTTCAAATAGGGATAGTAAATAAGATAAGCATTCAAGGTTGTATATATTATTCTACAGTATCTCCAGTCTTGTATGATTACATATTTGCAGGTTTTTAAACTCCCATTTTTTTATTTATCTTGTGTCTCTAACCTTAAGCTTCTTTGTTTACTTTTTTCGACTGCATTTTCACTTTAAGCTGCCCCCCAGTGGCACAGCGGTATGTCTGCGGACTTACAACGCTAGAAACCGGGTTTCGATACCCGTGGTGGGCAGAGCACAGATAGCCCTTGTGTAGCTTTGTGCATATTTAAAAACAAACAAACAAACAAACACTTTAAGCTAGCCATCTCGTTTCTGTATTTTATTACGATCCGTATTTCCCTTTTTAAAGTAATAATTTTTAATAATCTTGTAATTATTACAAAATGATGATAATTATAACTATAAACTTTAAACTCGATAATTCAGTAATAATTAATTAAACATACATCATTCTTCCTTGATAAAACTTATTCAAGTAACTAGCGAACCCGTGGGCCTATGGACCCACATTTACAGGGACGCTACAATGCAAATTTAATGCTTGAACTACTTTTTGCACTTTTTCAGTTTAATGATCATTGCCGCTATAATGCAAATTGAATTTATTTAACCAAGTTACGAACGGCTTGTAACTTAAATCAATACCAAATTTGGTGTCAGATTCGCTTGGTACTACTTAGAAGTCGGTAAGACTTGCGATGTAACAGGAGTTACGACACACACACACACACACACACTGAATCTTATTATATAGATAATCAGGGTAAGCTGAGACAAGCCCAGCTACATGGAGTTGGTCTTTTCGGCCCTTTGTACTGTGTAAGTCACTAAACAATAATATTTTATGGTTCGTTATTTATAAACATTGGATGAACACGAATAACTAGCGTCCTCTTTATGATCCCACAAAGGTAATCATTTCATTTGTACAAAATATATATATATATTAACACCTTGCAATATTTATTATAAAAATGTTTAATTTTTATATCCATTATATTTTTATCTATTTGCCAGTAATTGAACATTATATATAAAAGAATGGCTGTTGTTACAAATAATCAAATATCATTTTTAATTGTAAGATAACTATTTCCTTTAATCGGATATACAGGATTACACTATTTGGGGCAGGTAGAATAAGGATGAGAAACTCTTTTTTATCAAAAATGGTCAATTGCATTCTGTCCTCCACAAAAGCAATATCTAAATCTTAATAATGAACACAATTATTGCTATTATTATTTCTTTCTAGTATAAGTTCTTTTGGATATATTTGACTAGGATCAAAGTTTAAGTTATGGATAAAAATTAAATCATTGATATAGCCAAATGTTGTAATTGTAGAAATTAGGATTTATTACTTTTTTCAAAAATATTTTTTCATAGAGTACAGATTCTTGTTAGCCATGTTTGAGAAGAAATTAGCTCCAATTGGAATACCAACTATTTGTTTAAATATATTTTCACCAAAAAACAGTGTAATTATTACATATATATATATAACATGTATATTTTCACATTGTTGCTTAGTGAATTTGTATTTAGGATTAACTATGTCTATGTCTAAAAATTGATCAATTGAATAATTAAAAACTCTATCAATCTTTAAATCTATTTTGGTGTGTAATGTAGCACAATCATAAGTGATAATAGAGATATCTGATTTCAGACAATTTAACGTTCTTCCAAAATTGAAATATTGCTTTTAACAACTCAAAAATAGTGATCCATTTAAGTGTAATATAAAGGGATTTAGAACAGTTTTTAAAGAATTTGTAATGAATATAAGCTTAAAAGGTGTTTTATGCAATATCCGGATTGGATATAAAGTTAAATTAGGTGTAGTAGAATGTATGTTTATATTCCACTTTTATAGCTTTCTTTAAATTAGTAATGATAGTATTTTTATTTAATGTACTTTTTGTAAATATTTTAACTGTTTTAATTTCTTAAATTTCATAAATTTTTTTGACAAAATTACAACCTGCTTTTTCAATAGGGATAATAAATTGTTTTTGAATTTTTCATATTTTGAAATATATTAAATTTAATATCTGTCAAATTTAAATAAATTTAAAGCATTTAACTTTTTCATAGAATTAATAAACAATTATTTCCACTCCAAAAAGGAAAAACAGAGGATAAAAATATAATAATCAGTATTTTTTTCTGAACCTTTTAATGTTTCACTTTTTTTCGTGTGCTTTATAATTCTAAATTTAATATTTTTATCAAATGACTTTTAAATCTTTATATTTAATAACTTCTAGATTACCCGTAATAATATAATTATGAAAAGAATAAATTAAATCACTGTTGATACAATTATAACGTAAGTTATCAATTTCTTCGGGATTGAGGTCTTGAATAAATTTTGTAGTTAAAAAAATAAAGAGAGGTCCTATTGGTTTATTATATTTAAAACTAACTACAGGATGGCCCGGCATGGCCAGGTGGTTAAGGAGCTCGACTTACAGTCTGCAGGTCGCGGGTTCAAATGC